AGAGACCCTATCTCCGCAAAGTTTCTCTTGCAATGAAGCTTCTCTCTCGTGAGTCGTGAAGAAGCCTCTCCCTCTCCTGTCTCAGCCCTTTCTCTCGCAACTATCACCATCTCTCTCCTGACAAAGGCTCGTGTTTCCTGACCTTTTCTCCTTGTCGGCGCCATCATCTTGGTCTCATGCTCTGGCAAATATTAGAGATTATTCAATTAACAATGTGCTTGAATTAATTTCACTATCGTGTTGCTTTAATTAACTTCACTGCTTGTTTAGTTAACTTCAATGATCATAAACTAATTTGAAAGTGTTTGCTTATGCTTCCATTCACTGTTTTTGCTTAAAATTCACTATTTGTTTGCTTAAGGTCCACTGTCATTGCTTACAATTAACTTGTGAGCTGTGTGAGTTATCAATAGTCATTATAAATAATTAAATGAAAGTATGAAACTATAACTGTTTTTGGACTTCCCATCATCAATTTCTTCTTGATAAATAATTATATGAAGGCAACTCTGGTAGTAAATAGTTAAATGCGTCAACTCGTCATTTACTTGTTAAACGAATACAGACTTCTTGTTGTTGATTTCTTGTTACATTGATCTGATATAGTCATTCTCAATTTAGTAGCAAACCATTCAATGTTCCTCATCCTAGTAATGGGCCAAATGTCATGTCCCTAAAAAAATGATGCTTAAATATTCCAAAACCAGCTTGCTTGTTGTAACTGGATTAGGTTGATTTCCTGGAATAATAACATTCTGACACCATTGACTGAAATATACGTGATTCATGACATACAAAGATGACAGGTGTTGTACCAAACATGAGAATTTGAATGGCATAATATTACACTACAAATGCATGCTTCAATAGTAAAGATGCATTGTGCACTTCAGATAATCAAGTTTGACGAATTTTGCAGAAATCACCACAAGAAATGCTCAATCAAATCATGTTGAGGATTACAAGAACCAAATATCTATAAGAATACACCAAACTCATGCAATCAGCTACCATGACACCTACTAACCACGAACTTTAGCATTTAGCAATCAAGTCAAATACATCATTCAAGCAAATTGGACTTTAACATAATATGCTATTTGTGACCAACAAAAATAACATGTTTCAACGTCATAGAGACACCCCACCCCACTTTTCCACTTCCCTCAAGAGAAAACACAGGAACATTCCAAAAGGAATTTTCGTCCAGATATAATCCAAACTGATTTCTCATCAAGTAAGCATATTTAAATTCATTACTGCCTACATAATGGAAGAGAGCATATTTTTGGCCTTTGCTCTTGCACATGCACACTTGGTGCAGAAGGATTACATGTCATGAAATTATTATATAGAAAAATACTATTAAATTTTAGGACAAATCACAGAAAATCCCCTCAGGTTTGTATAATTAACACAATTTCCCCCTAAGATTCTAAAAGTGGCACTTTATCCCCCTCCCTTCTAATTTCTACATAATTAACTTGAATGTGAAAGCTATATCATAACTCATACTAATTATATGTCTTCCCATATCGACAAACATATCTACTCCTCTATACTTATAGGCGGAACCAAAGATTCACTATTCATACTACAGTAATGCTATAGCGTTATTACTGTAATTATATCACTGTAGCACGGCAGAATCCTATACCGTTTTTAAGGAATTACTGTAGCATTACAAAAAACGCTGGCTTTTTGAAAGATTACTGTAGCGAGAGAAAAAAAGGAGCCTTGCTTTGCACGGGGTGCACACTAGTGATTATCATACTGAATATGGAGGATTAGCCCCAAACTTAATGATTATTATTTATTTGATTAAAATTGAAAGTAAGGGGGCAAAGTGTTACTCAGGGGGGATTTTATGTAATTTACCCTAAACAATTATCAATCGATGTATTACATCGTTATTTACTATAATACACATCTCAAAAGTCCAGAACCATTTTAATTTCACATGCATCTTTCTGGTAACCAAAATTCTGTTTTTGATAACATAAAAGGATTATATCAGATTACTTACTGGAACACCCGGCCCCGGTTCTTCGACAACGAGGCAGGATCCGAGCCCGGCCCCTTGGGCCGGAGACAAACAGAGTGAATCCCAACAGCATCAGGGTACAGTCCACAGAGGAAATGGAGCCCTTCGCTCCTCCCGGGCTTCGATACGTCCACGTGGAGGAACAGCTGGCTGATCGAGTCGGAATCCTCGTCGTCCTCGGCTCCGGCGGGCATGATGTTGGCCAGCCTCATCACGGAGATGCTGATCTCCTCTCCTTTGTACTCTCGCCGGAGCACGGGGCCGTCGCGGTCAAGGGCGCCCTTGATCACAGAGTAGGGGGCCGGAGGATTCACTTTCTGGTGAAAAGATTGAGATTAGGGTTTGGAGTTTGAGTGAGTGAGTGAGTGAGAGAGAGAGAGAGAGAGAGAGAGAGAGAGAGGGATTTGATACTGTCAAAAGGTAAATGATTAAGTGCACGCACGCTTTCTTGCATCATGAAGTTTTAGTCATCTATAACGATGTACAAGGTTTGCTTCCACATGACCGCTGCGATGTTTTGTGATGCAGGAAGTGCTGGAGGGGTTTTAGCCTGAGACTCCGGTTAGGGTTTATTTGTTTCTCCTCCATAAAAAAAAAAAGGTAGTTTTTGGATAGGCTAAGGGGCTGTTTGGTTGTTTTCCGAAAAAAATCGGAAATGAAAATGTCATATTTCATTTGCTTTCATCACATTTCAAGATATTTCCCAGTTTTCTTTTTTTCTGTTTGTTTCGCAAAGAAATCACCTCATTTCACTGCCATGTCACACTAAAAACAAAAAAAGCCGCAATAGTAACAGTAGAATAGATTTCCATTTCTTGTGTTTGTTTGTGAACAAAAAAAGAGAAATATAGGTCAGCCGTAATAGTAACAGTAAAATCAGCATTTAAATAATCTATTTTATTCTCTTATACTATTTCAACAGTGTTTTTATTAATTAAAGATTCATAGAAGTGACATTTCCAAGTGTTTTCAGAGGTTTTTGGTGTGAAAACACATTTCTTAAAATTTGACATGGCATCCTACGTGGCATCCCCTTTTCTTAAAACTCAAAATGAAACAAACATGTAAAATGAAAAACGGTTGAAACCAAAATCTGAGGTGGCAGGGGGGATTTCCTCAAAGGTGACATGGCGGGGGGTTTCTCATTTTTTTTGGGCAAACAAACAGCCCCTAAATTACCAAATTGTTATTTTTATTTGACCATGATTGTCAGTTTGATATATTTAAAGACCATGATTGCCAGTTTAGTATATTTAAAAAATCTAGCGACAATAATGTATTTTTTTTCGGGTTTTTAGTCAAACCAACTATGAGAGGCTAACGTGATAAAATTAGTGGTGACATGGATGCTGACACGACAGGATGTTAATGACGTGGCTAGTTAGTTGAAAATCTCATCTTCCCTATTCCCCACTCACGCACAAATAGGGGACGAACTAGAAATTAGGGTTTGAGATCTCGCCTCCTCCCCTTTCATTCAGATCTTCAAAAACTAGAAAATCTAATTCAAATTAGTGGCAACCCCAACATGGCCTCGACAAGCTTAAGTTCAGGTTCAAGCTAGAATAGATCTAGAGTAAACTACAGGCATTGTTTCAGTTTCAACAATTTGAGTTGTATTAGGAAATGGAATGAAGCAGCAAAGAGATACAGGGTAAAAATTTGTTCTTGTGGAGCGGAATGTGACTACTATACATCAATGACATATGCAAACCCCGGGAGGAGGTTCTACAGATGCCGAAACTATAAGGTAAATTTTTTTGAATGTTCAAGTTTTAAATTTCGTTTGATTTGTTATGTCTAATAGTATGTTTTTAAATTTTAAATTTTAGAATGGTGGTTGTCATGTTTGGGAATGGTTTGACGGTCAATTGTGTAATGTGGCATTTCACTTGTTCCCTCTAGTAAGAGAAGAAATCTTAAACCTGAGGAACAATGATATACTGAAGGATCAATTGATTGAACGTGGTGAGAATGAGATGAAAGAATGCCATGCTGATATTGCCAAGACTAAAGAAGAGCTACGCATGTGCCAAAGAAAAGATGGTGCTTATTTATTGGAGATTTTAAACCTGAAGATGGAAAGAACAAGATGTGAGGATCTGATCAAACTTCAAAAGAACAAGCTCAAATTGTATGAGATGGTAATTTTGGTTTTAGGAGTTGTTGTAATGTGCTTAGGGTTGTTTGTTGTAAATAGTATGAGTATGAAGCTGTAATTGTATGAGATGCTCTCGTTTATGGCAATGTAACGGTGTATGATGTACTCTTCAAATGAAATGCTGTAAAAAAATTTCATTTTGATGCAGATGCATTATTTGTAATGTAGCTTTTAAAGCATGTTCCTTTAAAACAACAATATGACCCCCTTTGGTGTAGGTACAAAACCTAGTGGGATCATACATCAACAACTTCAAACCCGTGCAAACCCACAACAACAACAACATCACTTCCAAACCTGTGCAAACCCAGAAACTAAAAACTGGACTCAACTTCAAACATGTGCAAACCCAGAAACCAAAAACATACAAAACTATTTGCATCATCAATTTTATACCATACATAAACATTGTTTGTGCATAAAACATCATGTAGCATACATAAACTGTCATTTAAACTAGACAAAATGTAGATAATGTCTAAACATATCCAACAACCAACCAACCAACAAAGAGAAATTGCATCCACTAAATTCAAATTTGGCTGAAATTTGACTGATGCTTGAGTTGATGGTCCTTGGATAATTGTGGCCTATGTGTGACTTGTAGCTCTGTATATTGCCTCACCATGTTCACCTTGCCATAGTCCACATCCTTCAGGCATATTGTTGTGAATAGTCCTCCCTCTACCTTTGCCTCTGCCTCCTCCCCTCCCCAAAGTTGAAACTTGTGACTGGGTTTCACCTAGGATTCAGCAAACAATCACAAAATGTAGACTATACTTATGCATATAATGTATGGCTAGTGCATGTAATTTAACATTGGAAATAAATAGTACCTAAAACCCCTTGTGAACTATTGCTTCTACCTCTACCTCTTCTCTCTAATAACATTGATGTTGGAGTCAGAATATTTTGTCTTGGTATTTTCTCTACTGATTGACCAATCCTATTCTTGCTCCCCTTTAGTCTCCCTCTCTTTCTGGTTTGACTTGTACCTTCAGTTGCCACTTGTGATGTCTGAAAAGTGCACAAACAGTAAAAAGTATATACATATGAAAAATAAATTCACATATCCTCCAAGAGATAAACTTACTTGTATATTTTCAGTGCTTATTTGTAGGTAATAAAATTTGCCTTTACACAAGAGAACTCAAAACCTCGCTTGTTTGAGTTCGCCTGCATGCTCAAAGCAAGCAAAGCTCGCCTGCGAACTTGGTTTGCCCCAGTCATGCTCGCCTGCATTCGAGAGGCCAAGCAGAGCTCGCCTGCAAGATTGACTCACCAACACACTTTGCTCCCCTGCACAAGCCAAAGTTTGCTAATATGGCTTGACTCACTGACACGAGTCGAGCTTGCTTGTTCTTTTGACTCATCAGCATGAGTCGAGCTCGCCTGTTTGTTTGACTCGCCAGCACGAGTCGAGCTCACCTGATTGATTGACTCGCCAGCATGAGTCAAGCTCACCTGCAGGAAGTTCGCCCACACGAACCAAGCTCGCCTACAGACTCAAGCTCGCCTAACGCTTGGAGGGTCCGCCAGCCGACCCCACCTGTTCGCTAAGCTCGTATGAGCATTCAGACAACTCCCAAGTTCGCTCGTAAGTCTGTCGGCCTCGCCTAAACAGTGTAGGCGGCTGCTTGCTTGTGGGAGTGGGGCCACCTACGTCCCATGTCCTGGGTAATGGAGCATGGCTCTCATTACCCCTATAGTGGTCGCATCCCACAGCTAGGGGAGGGCATGATGCTCCTCACCTATTAGTGGTCACATCCCACAAGTTGAGGGGGAACCATGCTTTCCCTTGCCTATTTAAAGACCTTCTTTGCTAATGTGAAAGGGGTCTTACGTCTTGCTCCTGGCTGGTGTCTTAGGCTCTTCAAGCAGAGACTTCCATTGGCTTGCTCGGTGGAACATTCTTGGCTATAAACTTGGATTGTTGAAGTAGACTCAATCTGAACTCTCAGATTTGACACTCATTAGCTCTTTGCAAACTCTTGTATTGTAGCCCTCTCTAAGTATTCAGCCTTGATACTCATCAAGCTCGGGTATAATCGAACTCAATCACACAAGAGCTTCTACTACGTACTAAAGCTCAACCGCAATTTCGATCGTATCGTCCAAGGGAAGCAAACTCGACGCAAGTATTTGAGGGAGGCGTCCTATCGCTAGCCTTGATACTCATCAAGCTCGGGTATAATCGAACTCAATCACACAAGAGCTTCTACTGCGTACTAAAGCTCAACCACAATTTCAATCGTATCGTCCAAGGGAAGCAAACTCGACGCAAGCATTTGAGGGAGGCATCCTATCGCTACCGAAGAACTCATGTTAAACAAGAAGAGCATTCTCTTCACTTCTGTTGTAATATTTTTTGATTCTTAATTTGTAATAAGCAACTCTTATCAATACAAATCTCTATTGAGAACCAAATTTTTTTACACCAAACAGAAGATGGCGACTACAATGGGAGGAACCGTTTCTTTAACCAAAATGATGGTAGCGTAGTACGACAACATTACGGAAGGGACAGTCATCAAGTCCCTCGTGATTGAGTTCGACCAAGCTAAGTATGAGGAGTACTAATCTTCTTCCTCCTCTAGCGGTAAAGCTTCTCGCCGATACCGCAGAGTTGTGCATGTGGCCCACCCCTAAGTGGCCGAGGCAACCATGCCCGAGAGCTCTACTCGAGCAACAGCAGGGGGTTTTATCTCCCCCAAGCCAGCCAAAGGCCAAGAATGCAAGCCAAAGGACTACTCGTTGGGTTGCCAAGCAATCCACGTGGCCCCTTACGCAAGAGGAGACAACTGTTCGTGTTAGCGTAGACCACGCTTTTGTCATCAACATGAATGCTCTCCTCTCCAAAAGAGCCAAACGGCGACGACGATAAGCTCTCATTCACCAAGAAGCATAAGCCTCTATCTCCTATGGCGACCTGAATTACTATTAAGGCCTAAAAAGAGCCAAGCAAGAATGTAAAGTTCCTAGTTTTGGCAGACTACGTCAATCAGGCGAGCCTACCTACTTAGGCGGGCTTCGCTCTAGTAGCAAAGTTTCCAAAACTAGCGAACTTGGCGTTTCGGGCGAGCCTGACATTTCAGGTGAGCCTCACTCCAGCAGCAAAGTTCCCTATTCGGGCGAACTAAGCAATTCAGGTAAGCCCACCAAATCAGGCAGGCT